GTCATTGCGTTGCTAGCGATACGTTTTGCCAGCAACGCAAATTCAATCGTTCATTGCGGTGAAAATTTTAGAGCAAATAATTTATAAACTTAGTACTTAATTAGCACCTAAAAAAGCCCCTAATTTGGGCTTTTTTTAAAAGCAATTTTGGATTCTATTTTGATTTCCAGAAAATATAAATTTTGCATCTGCTATGTTCTGAATAACGAATTTATTTTTATTAGGGGCGCCTTGTTATTGCTTATACTTGCAGCACTTAATTAGCACTTAATTCCTTGCTATTAATATTTATCGTATATCTAATAACTTCATTGCGTTGCTAGCGAGACGTTTTGCTAGCAACGCAAATTTCAACAGTTCGTTGCGGTGAAAATTTTAGAGCACCTAATTTATAAACGTGGCACCTAATTAGCACCTAAAAAGCCCCTAATTTTGGGTTTTTCTAAATGCAAATTCCTGATTTTGCGTTGCTGGCGATACACAACTTTTGCATTTACTTACATTTATTTTTGAACTGTTAGCTATTATATGGGCAGTTAAATATTTCAGACCTTATCCGTACGGACAAAAATTTTTGGTATATACTGATCACCGACCTCTTGCCTGGTTTTATGCACTCAAAGAATCCAATAGTAAATTAACGAGATGTCGGCTTTGTTTACAAGAATTTGATTTTGATGTAATCTACCAAAACGGAAAACAGAATACCAACGCTGACGGACCATCCCGTATCAAACTGAACGCATTAGGTTCTGACGATGACACAGATTCGATGCAAGTGAACGTAGACGATAAAGACAAAAACCTTAAAAACTATGTAGACAGCTTGACCGAGGAAATTTTTTCGTATAGCAAAGCTTAATAAATCAAATGAGAACTCCGATACAATAACTGTGTCTGATCTATCAGCTACTCTTTCAGCTTCTGATCCAATAGATATAACAGAACAAACCTATCCCATCCCATCTATTAGCACAGAAACAGTATACTCAGCAATAGAATTGGAATCTACAGGTATACCTACATTAAGGGAAGCTATAGATACTAAACCTAATCAGATACTAATATACAGTTGGTTTAGGAACGAAATTCGAGTCAAAGATATTTCAAATAAGAAGCACAATTTTTTGTTTTTATTTTAAAAGTATTTTTACCTATCAATAACAAAAACTTAATTAAACAATTTTTAAATAATATGTAAGACCAAAGATTAAATACTTTATTTATTTTGAGGATACACCAATCATAAAATAATATTAACAAACAAATGCCAAGATGACATAACCAAAGAATAATTTTTGGGTACATACATTATAAAAATTAGTGAGGATTATGAGACTTACATAGAAAACTATAAATTGTTACACCGCCTATACTTCGCTAAGGAATTGGGCTATAGAGTGAGCCCAGTGATAAACTTACCAAGACTGGATCACCTGAACCTGACGAATACTGAAACAATTAACCTGAAAGGCTTAGCCTTAGACGACCTGAAACATCTAGCATATTTATTGAATCAAAAATTTAAGTTCAATGGCAGTGAACATAGTGATAACAGTGTGATAAGGGTTAAAGGTGTTAGCTTAGCTACTTTATTACTGTATGTCATTTTACCTATTGTTATTATGTTTAGTATTTTAAAAACATATAAAAGTAATTTAGTTAACAGTTGGCGGAATCATCGGACAATAGCTGAAAACACTGAAGCCGATAATTCCGCTCTTAGAGAGGCAGGAGTTATGCAACCACAAAACCATAGGGTTGTTTGGGTTTGTACCTAGAGGGGGCTGCATAAGCATTAGGCAGTATCTAGTAACTGTAGAGTCAGCGCTTTTGGTTGCATGAGATATCAGGCAGTGCTCATGGGAGCGGCCACCGGCCACTCCGTTTTGACATCGACTTCTGTCAAGACGTATCGTATTATTTAAGTAACTCTAATTATATTTGTTATTAGAAATAATTAAATTTTAAATAGTTTTTAAAAAATCATTTTACGTTCCCGTAAACTTGACTAGCTCCATAACAAAGGCAACAACAACAACAGCGTCAACAAAAACTCTCTTTTGATCTCGTCTAATCACTGACTTAGGCCGCCCACATACATACGGAATTTCGTTTCGAGATTCCGTTTCGATATTCCGATTCGGGATTCCGAACGCAGCAAGTCCATATAAAATCTATGACCCGCCACACACGTACGTTATTTTTCCGTAGGGAATTTCTCCGATTCTAGATTCCGTATGACCGCCTGTGCGTTCGGGATCCCGAACGGAAAAAAGCCGCTCCGAACGCAAGTCTTCCATAGATTTTGTACGAGTCGCAACACATACGTAAATTCCGTACGGAATGCGCTCAGTGTTCGTCGCACGACCGAAGCGAGTAGGTGTATTTATGTATGTTTTTAAATTTAATCTTGTAGGTGTATAGCTTTTCGTAACCTTTCATCTTATTTTATTTAATAATTCCTCGATAGAATTTACATACATAAATATTTAAAAAATATCTCTGGATAGATAGATCTTTTTACATAGTATTGACTATATTGCAAGCTTAGGGTGATAAGGGGATGCACCTAGTAAGAATGATACAGCAACAATGGAATTTGCAATTAGAAAATCGTCGTCATTATTCGCTGGCAGAATGTCTAGACTCAATGGCTAACGTCTCTCAACTGACCCTTGTTATTCCGAACGGAAAAAAAACGTGTGTGTGTGTGTGATGTATTCACGGAATCCCGATTCGGGATTCCGAAACGGAATCACGAAACGGAATTCCGTATGTATATGGCGGGCCTTAGGCCGGCCACATACATACAGAGACGTTAGCCATTGAGTCTAGACATTCTGCCAGCGAATAATGACGACGATTTTCTGATTGCGATTCCATTATTGCTGTATCATTCTTACTAGGTGCATCCCCTTATCACCCTAAGCTTGCTATCCAGAGATATTTTTTAAATATTTATGAATGTAAATTCTTTCGACGAACTATTAAATAAAATAAGATGAAAGGTTACGAAAAGCTATACACCTACAAGATTAAATGTAAAAACATTCATAAATACACCTACTCGCTTCGATCGTGCGACGAACACTGAGCGCATTCCGTACGGAATTTACGTATGTGTGTTGCGACTCGTACAAAATCTATGGAAGACGTGCGTTCGGAGCGGCTTTTTTCCGTTCGGGATCCCGAACGCACAGGCGGTCATACGGAATCTTGAATCGGAGAAATTCCGTACGGAAAAATAACGTACGTGTGTGGCGGGTCATAGATTTTATATGGACTTGCTGCGTTCGGAATCCCGAATCGGAATATCGAAACAGAATCCCGAAACGGCATTCCGTATGTATGAGACCGGCCTTAGAAGTATATATAGGTATATATCTCTATGGCTCTATGCGTCTAATGTCTATGATTATATTGTCATTGGTACATCTTTTGTTGTTGTGATTCATGTTTGTTAATTTGTTTGTGAAATATGTGAATTCAATTCAATGAATTGTGGTTGTTAATGAGTTTGTGTACTTACTTGAGTTCCGGATAAGATTACAAAGAAATATTTCTTTTCATGATATATTAGCGTAAGTTTCTAAGATACACCTCATTATTACATTTCACAAAAAAATAATTTCATAAATTGTCTGTCAGTAGTAAAGACCATAACGTTTGTGATTATTCAATTTATAAAGTCCTACCTTGATAGTAATAGGTACTTAGGTGTTAAGTAGGTTTTGTTAAAATATTTATACTCATTTAAATAGGTACTAGTGTTAGCCTAGTGGTCGCAATTCGACCGTAATTCATAAAAACATTGGGTTTGTATTATCCAAGCTGTGTTTCACTTTCAACTGCTATAAAACTTACATCAATAATATACATTATAAGCTCCGAGACATTAGCAGATAAACGTCAACAAACAACATATTTGTAGGGACACTAATTGTGTTTGACATTGGCAGTATAAACGTAAACAATGTATTATTTTATTTTATGTATGTAGTTGTAAGACATATTTATACATGAATTTTATCTTTCTTCACTCCTCCCTTATAAATTAAATATGCCAAATCTCACACTCCTCCATGAGTACAATACGCTTATAAAGTTTTCCCTTCACATTTTTAATATTTAGATTTATATCTTATAATATATTTGTATATATATAATGTGCGGATTTTATATTTTTAGATATATTAGATTGTCAAAAGGCTGTTCAAAATAAGTATAACTATTTTCTATAAGGTCTCAGTTTATGAAAGTCCAATATATGTATACATCATTCCATAATTATAGCACTCATTTGTAAGTTAAGGTGACCTTATTTGCCCTAAACTGCTATGATAGTAGTAAATGAAACAATGTAATGTGAATTGTTATAATTTTGTTTTCTGGAAAACCTCTTGACTGCTCTCCAATGCAACTCAATTAGTTGGATATGAGTTCAATCTTCAGCCACAAATGGATTGTCTGGGTCCGAGTAATTAACTTTTTTATGGGTGACCCATTTCGTTATATGCAATTTTTAGTTAGTGAAATTTTCAAAACACATTTTCAAAATCCAAAAACAGTGTAAAATGTTCAAGCTTAACCCTTACAAGCCCCTAAACTGAAAACATAATTAAAATCAAGTACTGGACATCTATAGCCAAACCTAGTCTTTCATCGTGAAAGAGTTTAGGAGATGTAATATCAACCAGTCTTACACCTTTCTGCAGTTTGATAGGTTTTGTACTCTGGTTCTGTACCCCTTATATACCATAGAGTATAAAAAAATCCTTATAGGGTCTAAGTTTGAAAGTCATTTAATTAAATTAAAAATTATTTATTTCAGAACTAGTCCATATCACAAGTCATAGATACACATTGAAATTAAAATATTAATTCTAAGTTATAATGTTACTTAAAGTTTAAAAATGTATTATCCACTTTCTATATTTCTATTGTGTTTTTTGTCGCTAATCATTTGTGTGTATTTTTTTCAGTGAATGAATGCACAAATGGCAAGAGAAGAAGTATCATTAAGGGTTGAGATGGGAAGATTGGAAATAGAACCAATAAAACCAAATGAGCTTTATAAAGTTGAAAATCCTTTCTCTCACATATCGCAACGAAAATTGCTTGGTGTTAAACCATGCATCCAAAACTATAAATGTGCTTGTTCCCCACAGAAAAAGAATAAAAACATAAGTATCTGTAAAAAGAAACACAACAGAATTCTTCGAGAACCAGTTTTAAAGTTAACGCAATGTTTGGCAAAAAACGAAAAAGGAATCGAGCTTACAAATCAATGTAAATGGTCAATGCATAAAACTAATTCTGATAATTTAAGCTTAAAAGCACTGGTTGACAATTGTAATCAGTTGAGTATATCGTCAGGTAGCACTCAGTTGAATTTTAAAACTAAATCAAAGGAGGATACCAAGTGGTGGAATAATAATGTTTTAGTTGAGAAACAGGGTAAGGAGTGCAGTCTAGAAAAAAGTCACACTGGCTCATGTTCCCAACAAGCTCTTAACCCACCTTGTGATGTCACAATTGATGAACTAGCCAGTTACTTCGAAACACTTGTTCATATACCTAAGAAAATGTCATCTATGGCTGAAATGATGTACATTTGAACCTTGTATATAAATCATATTGTATTAATAAAAGCAAAGTAACAGTAGTTGTTAAATTGAATACAATTGATTTTGAAGATATTTAGTACATTACTATAGTTATAACTGGTGATTTTATCTGATTATTATATTTTTGGATTTATTTACATTATTGTATGCACTACTGTTATTTCTTTAAAAACAAAAATGTGTGCATTGTATGGAGATAGATCATTTGAATAATAAAATATGTTGTTTTAATATACAAAGTTGTTTTATTTGTTATCCATTGAATTTTATCTGTAATCTTTAAATAACAAATTTGCCTTCACATCTGTATGTTTTACTATTACCTACTCAATTGGTGGTTAGTATGCTTTCATCTCCAATCTTTACTTTATTGATTCGTTAAGCGTAACTATTGTTATCGTCATTTATAATGGTTTATAATAAAATGTGCATCCACTTTCTAATAACCTTTTGATTTGATCATCTATCATAGTGCTTTCTCTTTTAGTCAATGTACTATTTACAACAGTTGTATGTATATTGTTACCGTTACTTATTTCTTGTATTATCATATTCTCAATCACGATACATGTGACTATGACCACGATAATAAGTAAAACCGTGACTATGGCTTCGATAATTCTTTCCAGCATGACAGTATATCTTGAAGTAGCCACATTGTCCAATTTAAAAGATTTTCAATCTTTTCACTTTTCTCTTTGATTGTTATCATTTCTACTCTTAATAGTCTACAGTTCTGACCCTTGCCGGTAAAATGTCTATTATATCTATACATACAGATAAACTTGTAGTACTCGTATCTGTCTGTATAATATTGAAAGAACTGAGACTTTACTAAATACTTGAGCTCACGGGGTTATTTCTAAGCCACACATCATAAAAACATTTTGTAAAATTTCAAAAAAATCTGTCTGTACAGATTAATTATCGGAGTGTCTTAATCGATTGTGATGAATCTTCACATATAGATACAAAGCAATGCCAGGAGTGATCAAGGTTATATTTCATCCAAAAACTTTTTTTGTATAAGTAGGGCAAATGAGCATGCGGCTCACCTAATGGTAAGTGACTACCGCCGCCTATGAACAACTGCAACACCAGGGGAATTGCAGATGCGTTGCCGGTCTTTTTAAAAAGGAGTAGGCTCTTTTTTTTGTCGTGTCGGTTCGGATAATAGTCGATAGTAGTAGTAGATTTTCGCTGATGGTAGTCGATTTTAAAATGTATAGAAAGAGTAACAAATCGATTATTCTATGTAGTGATTTTAATGTTGATTGAAAGGTCATCATATTTCAGATCGACTTCCCTGATCCAACATATCTTCGATGCTTGAGAGAATTCACAGAACGCGATAGGCGTTTATTGCGATTTATCCAAAGCATTCGATTGTGTTTGAAATTAAATCACTACGGTGTTACGGATATGGCTTTCAAATTAATTGCGTCATATCTTAGAGAGCAAATTCAAATAAAAGAAGTCAATGGCGTTAGTCACACAATTCTAAAATAAAATTAGGCGTTCCACAAGGCTCAATCTTAGGGTCATTTTTGTTTCTGTGTTACATAAATGATCTGTGAAATGAATATTTAGTGAATAACCAATGTGACATTATATTGTTTGGTGACGACACATCGCTACCATATTATTGATAAGCAGAAGGGACAGGGTAGGCGATAGCACGCAGCCTTGTCGACTACGACTGACGGGACCACCATCTGAAAGAAAACTGGTGATCCAATTGCATAATTTCTCGGGAAGCCCATTCTCGAAGATGGAAGCTTCAAAAGGAGCGCTTTGTGCCAAACCCTATCGAAAGCATTTGCTATGTCAAAACTAACCACCTTCCTCTTGGACTCGACCGCCTGCGCCCATCGGTGTGTTAGGTAAACAAGAAGATCACCAGCTGAGCGAACCCGACGGAAACCGTAGTGACGGTCAATAATAGGTGCTTTTAAAAGTTCCATTATTTTCGATAACAAAAAGGAGGTGATTGCGATAGGGCTTTAGTTGGACGGATAAGAGCGTTTACCTTTAGTAGGGATCGGGGGCACGAAAGCTGTTTTCCATGAATTCGGGACTACGCCTAGGGAGTAGAAGTACCAGAAAAGACGTGTTAGAACCGATGTCAGACCTCTGTCACTCCGTTTATGAAAATATTTTTTTGTAAGTACTTGTTGAAATACTCATCGAAATAGTTTTTGTTTATTGTTTAGTATATTTAATTGTAGGATAAAATAGTTTTAATGTAATTTAAGAATAATGTATGCATGTAATGCACCGTACGGGCATTGAGAACAGATATCCTGTGTCTCTGTGTATTGTCTATCTATTTGATAAATTATAATGGCAAAACGTCGTTCCTACTTCTTCGTTCTTATTTATTAAAATAATGTAGCTGTTTCAACACATGTAAGGCATCTAATTTTTTTTACAGCATATGCTGCGGTACTAAAATTGCTAGCCAGTTTAGATATATGAGGGCCCCATTGAAGCTTCGAGTCAACTGTAATACCGAGAAAAACAGTGGATTCAACAAGACCCAGCCCCTCCCCACTTACAAGCACATTGGTATTCACATTTTTAACATTGGGCTTAGTGAATTTAATACATTTCGTTTTATTACCGTTCAAAAGCAAATTATTGACGTTAAACCAGTGTACTACTTTTGATATAGCATTATTCACTTCGTCATATTTCAATAATAGCCTTTTTAGTTAAAAATCAACGAATTATCATCAGCAAATAATACTAGATCATGGTTATTCCCTATCAAGTAAGGTAAGTCATTAATATAAACTAAGAACAGAGAGGGACCAAGAACTGAGCCCTGAGGAACACCCATAGATACTACCGATCCGGAAGAAATGCATCCATTAATAACAACTGTTTGCGTTCCATTATTAAGATATGACATAATAAGTTTAAGCGCTATGTTTTTACGCCATAATGATGTAGCTTCCTGATTAATGTCTCATGGTGAACACAGTCGAAATCCTTGGAAAGATCACAAAATATACCCAAAGCATCTTCTGAATGCCCATGCACAGAAATATGTTTGATTAGCTCAACACCGATATCAGTTGTCGAGCGATCCCGTGTAAATCCAAACTGATTGTTATGTAGTAATTTATTTACATTAAAAAAACTTAACATTTGATCTAAAATAATTTTTTCAAAAATATTACTGTGCGTTGGCAGTACATAATACAGGTCTAAAATTAGTGGGGTCCAATGTACTGCCAGATTTAAATAAAGATATAACTTTACTATGTTTCATTAAATCAGGAAACACACCAGATTCGATACTAGCATTGAAAATAATAGCTGAAAATAAGTTGGGGTGCGATCACATTTATTATAGACGCAATAACTTTAACAGAAATCCCCTATAGATCTGCTGTTTTCATAATATCAATAGTTTTGAAATATTTTACAATATCACCTGATAATATTCTATGAAATAAATTCTTTTTTACAGATATTTACATTTTGTTTGAGTAATGACTCGGCGACAGCAGGGGAGGAATTGAGTTACTTTGTAGTCAAGATCGGAATGTCGGTAAAATATTGTTCAAAAGCCGTTGCAACGTCTTGATCTGATTTCGTCAAATTATTGTTAAAATTTATTTAAAAAATTTGAGTTGTGTAGTTTCTTCTTGTCAGTTTCACTATTGATTATACTCAAAGTCATTTTAATTTTATTAGAGGCATTTTTAATTTTGTTTTTTTTTAATAAAGACTTGGGTGCGCAACACACTCTTTTAAATATTTTTTTTACATATTCTCAAAATGAAACACTGTGATTATATAATCTTTCCTTGTAAAGGTCATACAACTTTTGTCTCCTATGGATTCCTTCTGTCGCCCACTCATTAAACGATTTGCGACTGTTTAAAGAGAGTGTTTTAGAAGTAAATATTTTATTAAATTCAAGACTTATTAGTTTAAATAATGATCTATATAAATAGTTAGTATTGTTTTCATATGGAAAAAAAGGCAGCTTTTTCACTATATTACTTTTAAATCTCTCTAAGCGATGATAATTTATTGGTACAAGCACAACTATATTAACTTTCTGTTTTTTGTGCATGTAAAGTAGCGAGACGAACTGTCAGAACTTAAATTTTGAATAATTAATTTAAGTAAGGGCTCAACATCAGTAAAAATATTATCTATACAAGTTGCACTAGGCCCTGCAATACGTCCCCCCCGAACCAATTCCCGCCTTGTCGTGGCGGGGGGGTTTAGTAGCCGTGGCTTGGTCACCCGCGGTGAACACAGAGGAATACCCTATACCACGGGCCAGCCAAGGGGACTGGCCGAGGTGGCCACTCCGAGTGGACTTGACGAGCCCACTTCGGATGTGTGTCGGTGGGCTGCGGTGAGAGGGGTGTCCGCTCCCTCTACCGCTGCAGCCGAGGTGAAGTCGCGGACGAAGAGGAGTGTTGGTATGGCGATGCGCCACTCGCCCTATCCAGCGCGACTCAAACGGGGCTGCACCCTGGAGGGAGAGAATTGTCGGTATTGCGAGGTAATGCCGCTCTCCCTATCCTCCGCGGCCGAAACTTGGTTGGCGGCGGAGCCAGAGACCAGAACTGCCGCTGGGGTCGGGAAAGCGGACCCTACTAAGAGCTCGATTTTCCTGGCCCCATGGCCCCCACGTATCGGACTGGGGGGGGGTCCGATACGCAGGTGGAGTTGGAGGCCGTGAAGAGGGATAGTTGAACACCTCACTACCCCGTGCAGGAGACGAGGCCCGGACAGACCGCGCCAGCACTAATGTGGGGCTGCGGAAGAATTTGGATTCCCGCGGCCCCGCGCGCACATGCGAGGAGGCACCGGGGTGGTTTTTGCCGGTAAGAGTCCGGCACGCCCCTCCGCCTTTCCCCAGGCGGAGGTAGTCCATGAAGATTTCCCCCCGTAAAGAAAAGGCCCTGCAATACGTGTTGGCTCAAAGAACAAATTAACAAGGTGGTATGATTTGAGTAATG